TAAGCAATACAGTGAGAGCCTGTCTTAACAAACAGGGCTGGAGAGGTGACTCAGGAGCTAAAGAGCTGCTGCTGTTATTGCAGAGGACATGGGTTCTATTCCTAGCTCCCATCTCAAGTGACTCACAGCTACCTATAACCCCAGCCCCAGGGATCCAACCCTGTCTTCTGGCCCCAATGTACATGGTTATCGGCACACAGACGGTTATCGGCAAATTGTCTTAGAGAAGGAAATCTATTTAGGGGAGAATCTCTCTCTCTCTCTCCTCTCTCTCTCTCTCTCTCTCTCTCTCTCTCTCTCTCACACACACACACACACACACACACACACACACAGAGTAGCAATAAGAAGTATAAAAGGGAAACCTTCCTATGTAAATTTCTGGACAAAGGAGAGTGCCCATTCTGTTTCTAAAGTCAAGTCAAGCAAAACAAGAGAAGAAAGCATGGGTTGAAACTGAAGGAAGGTGTGTGTGTGTGTGTGTGTGTGTGTGTGTGTGTGTTTCCTGTGTCACAGGGAAATCATACGCAAACACACAGTGGAGAATGGAAGGGCACAGGACAGTATCTCATCAAATTTGACTCTGGCTCGTTTGGAGCCAATACTAACCCACCAAAGAAAATCCCTAGGACTGCTTGGCCTTGGCTGTGTAGTTGCCACAGTGAGGGAAAACAATCAAATAGCTCATGAGAGTTCTTCCTCCTCGCAGGCCAGTCATGTGTACAACTTCCTTATCAGACTTACAGATTCTCCATGTGAGAACAATAAGGCATCACCGCCACCCCCGTCCGTCACTGCCACATTGGGGGGTGGGGGAAATGCATTCAGGAGGCAAGTACTAGCTGGGAAAACTCAGGAGCTCAAGCCCAAAGGTAGGCCTCACACCAGTGTCCCAGCTCCCTTCCTCATTTACTGTGTGTATCAGGAAGAATGGGCTCGTTTGTTTGTGTTCAAATATAATTCTGGGTCTCTGATAAGAACCAGCCCCATTTCCGGGTAGTCACCACAAGAACGTGGAGTCTGAATGGGCGGGCGGGTCAGAGCAAGGCCAGGCTTGTGCACACAGGGAAGGAGACCTTCCAAGTGGTAACTGCCATCAGATTGTCCGTAACCACAGGCATCCCTCGGTTACGCTGACCTGGTGAGTCAGCGCCATCTGGTGGATTCACAGAGCACTGCTGGAAATCCAGTCAGCAGTTCTAAATCTATGTGATGGTACTACTGTATTCTTCTCCATACATTGTATTAATTTGCTGACGTTTAAATTCATAAATTAACAGGAACCCTATTAGTGACACTCAGATTAATTGATGTGGTGTCCCCAGCCAGATCGACTTTTATAATTACACTCTGCAAATTAGTTAGATTTTACTGTAGCTTCTCTCTAAGGACCTGTAAGTTCTATTTCCATCCACAGTTGCGGCCTGTTTGCTTCTCATCAGACATTGCTGCATGGATCAAGTTGCAGTAAGGGCTGTACGAGAGGTAACTTTAAGACAGTTAAGCACGTTTAACAAACACGTACTTGTTGACTAGAAGGTCCCAGGCACAGTACTGGACTCCAGCTCACTCTCAAGAAGTTTGCCAATGGGTGGGAGAGTAGCCAAGAAACTAAAAATGTTAACAAGATGAGGTCAGAGAAACCTGTAATTTTAATTGGTAATACGAGATGGAAAGGAAGGAATGGGGAATAAAATAAGGTCACCAACTGTCTCTTAAAGGTGGTATTTGAGAACCAAAGAGGGAGTAGTTTTCCCCTGATAAAATTTGTGTGTGTGTGTTGATTTTTGAGTCCAGTTACTCTGTAATCCAGGCTGACTTCTAACTTGTAGTAATCTCCCTGCCACAGCCTCCCAGTGTTGTGATTATAGGCATGAGTCACCAGGCCTGGCTACTGGAATTTGTTTAAAATGAAAACAAAACCCACCAGACATGGTAGTGTACACCTTTAATCTGCGCTTGGGAGGCAGAGGCAGGTGGACCTCTGTGAGTTCCAAGGCGGAAAGTCTCACTACACAGTGATAAACTGTCTCACAAACAAGGCTGGAGAGATGATTCATGGGTTAAGAGAACTGGATTCTTCCAGAGGACCTGGGTCCAGTTCCCACCTCGCAGAAGGCAGCTCACAGCCATCTGTAACTCCAGTTCTGGGGGATCTGACGGCCTCTTCTGGCTTCCTCAGGCACTGCACACGTGCACATACATACATACATACATACATACATACATACAAAACACCCATATACATAAAACAGAAATACTTTTCAAAAAATACATCTAAAACAAAAGCCAAAACTATCATGGGAGCCAGCCTGGTTGAGCATGGTAGTAAACACTTTTTGTGTGTGTGTGTGTGTGTGTGTGTGTGTGTGTGCTCCAGGGTTTCGCTGTAGCTTTGCAGCCTGTCCTGAAACTTGCTCTGTAGACCAGGCTGGCCTTGAACTCACAGAGACCCTAGTGCTGGGATTGAAGATGTGCACCACCACTATCACCCATTCCAGGTCAATCTGGATTATATAGTGAGATTTTGTCTTTTTTGTTTGCTTGCTTGCCTTTTGTTTTTTGAAACAGGTTTTCTTTGTGTAGCCTTGACTATCCTGGAACTCTCTCTGTAGACTAGGCTGGCCTCAAATTCAGACATCATCCTGCTTCTGCTTCCCAAGTGCTGGAATTAAAGGTAAGATGACAAACAGGCAGCCTAAACCAGCTTGAGGGTCTACCTAGCAAGTTCCAGACTTTGTCTTCAAAAAAAGTTTTTGTTTTGTAAAAGTGATTCATTTTGTGTGTGTATGTGGTGTGGTGTATGTGTGTGTGTGGTGTGGTGTATGTGTGTGTGTCTGTGTGTGTGGTGAATGTGTGTGTATGTGGTGTGGTGTATGTGTGTGTGGTGTGGTGTATGTGTGTGTGTCTGTGTGGTGAATGTGTGTGTATGTGGTGTGGTGTATGTGTGTGTCTGTGTGTGTGTGGTGAATGTGTGTGTATGTGGTGTGGTGTATGTGTGTCTGTGTGGTGAATGTGTGTATATGTGGTATGGTGTGTGTGTGTTTTGCCTGCACCTGTGTACACGCATGCAGCATCCTTTAGGCCCACAAAAGGGCACTCCATCCCCTGGAACTGGAGTTTAGATAATTTTGAGCTGCCCTAAAAGGTGCTGGGGATCAAACCTGAAGCTAGTACCCCCTTCCCCTCGTTGTGCCCAGAAGGGTTAATCTGGAGTTTCTGTTCTTCATCCCCGACCCCTTTTTTTTCCTTTTTCTTTTTTCCAGACAGGCTTTCTCTGTAACATCCCTGGCTGTGCTGGAACTCCCTCTGTAGACCAAGCTGGCCTTGGACTCACAGAGATCCGCCTGCCCCTGCCTCCTGAGTGCCAGGATTAGAGGCGTGCCACCAACACCCTAATGAAGCCAGCACCCTTAACCTCAGACCCATGAGTCTTTGCCTTCAGATCTAATGAATGCCTGAGCTGTTAGGAAATCAGCAACATTCCCTGGTTCTGCTGTCACTTACTTAACCCTGAACATCCCTTGGATGCTTCTGAAGGCTAATCAGAGTGCCAAAAAGCTAGACAAAGTGACAGTATCACTAGGCATGGTGGCCAGTGTCAAGGTGGCTTGTTTTTTGTGAAGTTGACACAAGCTAGATGACCTGGAAAGAGAAATCTGAGAAAACGCCCCCACCGGATGGCTTGGGGCATCTCCTTGATTGACTATTGATCATTTATCTATTCTATTTTAATTCCTAAGTCCTGGGAAGGAGGCCCTGGGTAGTATAGGGAAGCAAACTGAGCAAGTGGGTAAGCAGGGTTCTTAGTGGTCTGTTTCAGTCCTGCTCCCAGGTTCTTGTCTTGGCTTTCTGCCCTGACTTCCCTCAGTGATGGGCAGTGACGTGAAATAAGCCCTTTCTCCCCAAGATGCTTTTGTTCATGCATAGCGTGAGAAGGCAAACTAAGACGTTCAGCATTGTCAGGCTGAGGCAGGATGGGGAACTCAGCAGTGCCCTCAGTTACCCAGGCAGTTTGAGGCCAGGCTGGACTACACAAGACTCTTTAAAAACCAACAATAAAGGCAAGAGGAAACTGGAAAGATAGTATGAGACGAGGGGAGGGCATGTGATCCAAACAAAACCTGAAAGTCTGCTCCAGAGTTTACCCCCATCTATCTAGCTCAGGTTCGAGACCCCATGGCAATAAGGCTGCCAGTCAGCTGTTTACCCTATCTTCACTATGGACCAAGCAACCAACTTCCCGCAAATCATTTCCCACCGTTTCCTGGTAATATTAAGGGGTATAGCATGAACCAGGTGTGGTGGCAGACATGATTCCCAGCTCTTGGGAGGTAGAGGGAAAGAGGTTCAGGAGTTCGAGGTCAACCTCAGCTATATAGCTAACTCAAGGCCAGCCTGGGTTACAGGGAGACCAGCTCAAAACGAAAACAACAAACAAAAAGCAAGGGACCAAAGAGATGGTTCAGCAATTAGGAGTATTTGTTGCTCTTGTAGAGGGTCTGGGTTGGATTCCAGCACCCACATGGTAGCTCACAATGATCTGTAACTCCAGTTTCAGGAGATCTGACACATGTAAGCAGAGTGCAGGCAAAACAGCCATACACACTCTATTAGGGTTCTCCAGAGCAACAGAACCGACAGAATGAAGATTATAGAAGGAAATGTATGTCATACATTCCCTTAGTGGTAAGAGCCTGTTCTGGAACTCACTTTGTAGACCCGCCTGCCTGTGCCTCTGCCTCCTGAGTGCTGGGGTTACGGGTGTGCGCCACCACAGGCACCCGCCACAGGCACCCGCCACTGGCACCCGCCACAGGCACCCGGGAACACTCACTCTTCATCACTAAGGCGGTGCCTTTCTACTGCATTTCTGCTCCCCCTGCTTCCCCTAACCAGCTGAGCAGCCACTTATCTGACTCAAAGCTGATTTTCGCCTCAAAAACCCTGTCCCATGATACCAAAGCCAGTGTAAAAGAATGCATAAAAATATCATAGCATTTAATAATTGCAAATATATTTATTACAATTGACAGATTAGTTAATAATTATATACAAATATAATCTGAGCTATAAAATCTCCACTAGTTACATTTTAAAATCATTGATCTGAAGAAGCCAACTCAAAAATCTTGTTCCCAAACTTCACCTTCCTTAAATTATAAAAAATAAAATCTGACAGTTTTGATTGCAAGTTCCAGTTGAAGGGCTGTCCCACTCAGCACTGGGAGGTGGGGACCCGCGTCTGTACAGAGCCTCCCTCTCACAAGCTACACAGATCCCTAAAGCCCCACTGCAAGGCTGGAATGTGGAATATGCAGCTAAAACCTCCACGCCTCGCCTCGCCGGTCTCCTTTCCTTGGGAGGGGCCTTAACATCTGGGACTGGGATGACAATAATGTTGTAAAGATCCTTCTGTCCTTGCCACCATCTGACCATGCCTGCAGGCAGGCAGTGCACCAGAGTGTTTTAACCAGTCATTTACTCATTAGATAGGGAAGGTGGAATCTGGAACAATTTTTAAACACCCAAGGAATGTTCTGTACATTCTGTACTTCTGTAGTCTCATCCCTTTGCAAATATACAGGTGCTGGGTCTCAAACACAACACAGCTAAATGTCTGAAATCAAATGCTAAGCTGCAGTCTGGCTGTGAAACAATGTCTATTGTCACAATTTTTCTTCCTAAGTTAACATGCCTGCTTTCCAAACGACACAGCTCCTAACTAGCCCATTTCCACAGCACTATACCAGACTGCAATGCACTCTGGGTTCACGAAACACACGTGCACAAACTACAGAGAATGGGGCTCTGTAAAACTCAGACCAACTTTTCCGGTGCTTTATTCTTAGTGTGTGAATGAACATTGTCACTGTCACCACCAGGGGCAAACCTTAGAGCATGTCCAACGGAAATGGCCAGGGAGATCATAAACTGAGGTAGTTACGCTGTGAGCTCTTCTGTGAAAATCCATCCCCACCATCAATCTAGCAAACCTCTCCTGTTTGTGCTCCTGCTACCCATGGCAGGAGGCACAGTAAGAACTGACCACTAAAGAGGTGATTAAACGTACCTCAACCTAGCACACACACAGCAAATAAAACTAACTCAATAAAGCAGGCACACTAATCAGTGCAGACTATTCAAAGCAAGCCTTGGGTATGACACTAAGACTTTCTGGCTGTTCTACCTGTACTCCATGCTTTTCTCAAAGAGCAGGAAACCTGGACATTGAAGTTTATATTTGACATTTCACACTTAAGAATTCAGAAATGTCCAATCCAAGTTTACAGTGTCACCATGGCAGGTTTTAAAAGTGACAGGTGCTGAGGCAGGGTATTAAGTAACACTGGCTTTCTGTTAAGGGTACATAAAACAAAACTGAATTTCTGAGATGTCTGCATATTCCTCCTAAGAAAATTCTAGGCTTTTAAGTTTTTAAAAAAAATTGCGTACAATGCAATGATTACTTCCTAGAATGCTTTACAATTCCTACCCACTGAAAGCTAAAAAGTCACATTCAACAGGAACTACAACACAGAAACCTTCCAAATGGACAGTTTGCAAACAAATCAAACACACTAGATGTTAAGGTTTGGCAGACCAGCTGGGTATCACAGTGTAGTCTTTAAGAAGCACACCAACACAGCTTTCTCAGTCAAGAAAGTACTGCACTTGAGGGTTTGTGGTGGTCCTTGGAAATACCCTAAATGGACGTACAGAAAAAAATCTGGACCTGTGGCACCACATACGAAATTCTAGCAAGAGAACAAGGGAATCTTTCAAAGTCATCCTTGGCTAAGTACTCAGTTCAAGGCTAGCCGAGGCCACATAAGACTAATTCTTTAAGAGAAGGAAAAAAAGGGGGTGAAATCCCAAATGATACAACAATGTCTTTTAAGTTGACAACAAGTGCAATAGGTTTAGCCTTAAGGTAAATAGGTCAAATCTATGAAAGTAGAAAAAAAAAGTGCAAGCATAGCCTATGTATGTATGTATACACACATATATATATGCATGCATACATACATACATACATATACATATATGTGTGTGTGTGTGTGCGCACTATATGTACACTCAGGAGGTTAAATCAAGGATTGCCATGAGCTCAAGGTCACAATGAGACCATGCCTCAATTCCCCACCTCAAAACATACACATATACATATATACAGAAAACCAAAAGAGCATTCACTTTAGAACAGGAAAAGTTTGTAGACAGGAATGCATAATTTAAAATAGAACCCAATATGTAGTACTGGGGATTGAACCCAGAGCCTTGCACAAGCAGGCAAGAGCCCTCCGCTATTTAACAATATCCCAGCCTCCTTTTCTATTTTCATTTTATAAGGTAAGGCCATGCTGGCCCTGAATTCACTATATGGCCCAGGAAGACCTTGAATTTCATCTCCTCTTGCTCAGTCTCCAAAGTAACTGGAGTTACAGGCCTGGGAAGAAACTTTTTTTTCTATACCAGGCATGGCGGCACAGGCCTTTAATCCCAGTACTCAGGATAAGAGGCAGAGGCAAGTGGATCTCTGTGAGTTTGCCGCCAGTCTGGTCTACAGAGCAAGTTCCAGGCCAGCCAGGCTACACAGAGAACCCCTGTCTCTAAAAAACCAAAACAAACAAACAACCTTTTGTTGTGTTTGTCCTCTAAGACAGCTCTGGCTGGCTTGGAGCCCACTATGTGAGCCTAGATGCTCTCTGCCTCCAGAAGTTTTCTAAATGCAAAGTAACAACTTAAAGAGAGTTCCTTTTCCCACCCTCAAGGAGGCAGAGGATACAAGCACATCCACCTGGGCATGGTGGGGCAGGAAGCAAAGGCAAGAAGATACCAATTTCAAGACCAGCTTGGTCTACACACAAAGACCCAGGCCAACCAGAATTCTGGAGTGAGAGCCCTGTCTCAAAAACACAAAAACAACATCCAACTAAATAGGAAAAGAGAGGATTAAAGATCCTTCATTATCTGAGTTGGTGTTTCTAATGAGACATATTACCCAAAAATAATTCAACTACATCACTAGATACAAGCTGTTTCTTTAAAAACATGTCCAAGGACAGCTGCCAATATCTGTTTTTAGGAGAACCCTCTCAAGCAAGAGAGAGTGTGGGCCAGGGCTACAGGCTGTTCACTCGTCTTAACATCAATGAGCAACAGTGTGTCTCCTGAAATGTGTCCCTGCAGTCTACTGAACATTCGCTCTCTGTGCTCAAATGTCAAGCAGTAGCCAATGGCATCTTCTGTTTCTTGAATCCGTTTCTGGAACCTGCATCCATCCCTTGCAAATTCTTCCCATGGTCCCTTGCGATCCTCATCACCACTTATATAATACTCAGTAACTTCTTCAAGGAAGGTTACCTAGGAAGACAAACAAACCCAATGTTAATAACGCTAGGATCTTAGGACTAACACTAACACCAAAAAGAATCCATCTTTGTCCCTACTGCACACGGAGGTGATGAAATCGCCAATAATGCTGCAAAGATAAGATGTACATTTCCTCACAAGCCTACAGTAGCTGTCCCTTCAAGCCCAAACCTTGTTTCATGGTGTTGAAAGTTTGGATTACCCCCATTATCAATCCCTGCTATCCTTTCTTAAAGAAACACAGAAATTTGTCTTTTCAGTATTCTTTCCCCCAAAAGAAAAAGTATTCAGGGAGTAACCACTACAACCCTGAAAAGGCCAAGATACTCTGTGACCCCAGGACAAGCTGAGGCAGAACAATCATGGGTATGAAGCCAGAATGGGTTACATGAGACCCTGTTTAAAAAAAAAAAAAGCATGTTTAATAGTTACATCAGCTAATCCCAGAGAGACCTATAGCTTTCCTTCCCTTTACATCAGGCCTAGGAATGCCCCTGAGGACAATTAGTAAGCATGTAACACCTTACTAGATATTGCATTCTACTGGTTACCCAGTCATGGTCACTAAGATAAATAAAATAAGCTTTTTTTGGGGGGGAGGGGGTGGTTCAAGACAGGGTTTCTCTGTGGCTTTGGAGGCTGTCCTGGAACTAGTTCTTGTAGACCAGGCTGGTAAAATGAGTCCTTTTACAATGTTTATCAAATGCCAAACTTTTTTCAAAGAAGTTTACACATTTTCCCATGTGATACTCATGCCAGTCCTATGACATGTGAACAGTATTATCACCAGCGTGCAGACAAGGAATCCTGCCAGTTACTCCCCCAACCCCCACAGCATCTACGCGGCATGACTAGGACTGAAAGTCTACAATCTGCTCTTCTGTCAGTGCACACGGTATTTTTACATCCAGGATTTCAAGGCCTCATTCTTAGAATGGGGCAGTACTCTTCATTCCCATAAAACTAAAGAGTGGCAGGTAGCCAAGAGCTGTTAAATAACTATCATACTTAAACACATCTTCTAGTCTTCGTTCTAGCAGTCAATAGTCTTAAGCTAAACTGAGACATGAGGTTGACATCAGTCATCAAAGACATGGAAATGAATTAATTATGAGTTTATTTACTCATTTATCTTTTGGGGGCTGGAGGGATAGCTCAGCGGTTAAAAGCTAGGCTAGGCTCATTTATCTTTTGGTAGCTGGGGGGTGGGGGTGGGGCTGGAGGTGTAGCTAGCTCAGTGGCAGGGTGCATGTTTAACATGCAAACCAGTCCAGGATTCAACCCCCAGCATCACAAGACAAAGCAACAGGTCTTAGTATTTCCCACTGGATAAGTAAAGGGATCAGGGGCATGGCAGTTAAAGTAACTTGTCTGGTCTGGCTTCCCGGCCCCCCAACACATACATCTCAGACCTAAAGCCCAAGCAGAGAACACAGGCCTGCAGAAGCCAGTGGCCCACAACTGTCCATGTGACACTCAATGGTGCAAAGTATAAGACACTAAAGAGACCCCCTCAACAGGAAAAACATCTGTGTTTCCATGCTTTCTCAGTTAATAACTTCAGCTGAGTAAGCAGTAAGAGAAATAAAGCAATTTAAAAATACCCTGAACATGAACTAAACTGAACAATAATATAATCAAAGAGCAAACCATCCCATGAAGTGTTAAAATTAGCCTGGAGGCTCACAGATATCCCGGCACTTCAGAGACTGAGGCCCCAGCTCAGCAGGACTTTGAGGCCAGGCCGGCTTCAACTTTCAGTGAGTTCTAAGCCAGTTTGCAGTGAGACTTAAAAAAAAAAAAGGGGGGGGGGGGCTGCTAAACGTTCTAGCCAGCTCAGAACACAGAATACAGGAAAAGCCAAGAGTATTGCCTTGGTTGGTTTCTGTTGTTGTTTTTTGTTTGTTTGAAAGTTCCACCTATGTATCTCATTATGTAGACCAAGCTAGACTCCAAAAATCAGAAATAATCCACCTGCAACTGACAAGCGCTGGAATTACAGGCATGCATCACCACAATCACTGCCCTTCCGGGCAAACAACTGGATAAACCTAACTTGCTTTTTGGAGTTATTACCAGTAGTATTGTAGTGTATAGCATAATAATTACTAGTATTCCTTTGGGTTCCAATGGACAGGAATAAAGACACTGTTGTCATGAAAATAAATATTATGCATTCACAAACATACTACAAGTGAACCATTTTTAAGCTTCAGGACCCACCAACCTAAATGGCAGCCCTACTCACATCCACACGCGGGCGCCCTCCTTTCAGATGGGAATACTTCTCTAGACTGGGAAGAAGGGTCATTTGAGTATTTCTCAATCCAAGCCTTCCTCAAAACTATGCACAACTATGCCTCCGCAGGATAAGTCATGCTGCTATAGTAACACCAAAATACAGCAAATCACTAGACATGTAAAAGGGAGAAAACAAACCTTTTTTCTTTTGATATGGGTGTATTTTTCTCCAGAAAGGGCCTCACCCAGCCCACAGTCTGGACAGTTATCTTCTTGGCTCTCTAACACTTGTACCTTACAAGAAAGTAAGGTGTGACACCCAGAAAAGGCAGCCATGGCCTCAGAAGGTGCTTTGGGGTCCTGGCAGCCTTCCCAGTTTTTCCCTGACGTTCGAAAGGGAGCCTTGAAATTTAAAAGGTTGTAGGGGTCCTCAGAGTTGCAGAATGAGTTCCACAATCTAAGATTCTCCGATTCATCTGCACTGGATCCCCAATCCTCTTCCTCCCCAGAACTGTGCCCGGGAGTCTCCGGAAGGAGTCCGGCCTGAGAAGCCCCTACGTCGGAGTTGGCAGACAAGGACCTCCCTGCATCACACGGGTCTCCAGGGACAAGTCTGGCAGCAGTCTGAATTGTGGCTGTGAAGTTTTGGGGATTGTAAGGATCTACACTGTAGAAAGAGTTCCAAAGGTGAAGCCCTTCAGAGTCCTGTCCCTCCTCTGATTCCGACAGAGAACCATCACTATCACTATCGAAGCCATCATCCTCGGCTTCCTCGTCCCAATCCTCACTTTCCGAGTCGGAGCTGGTCTCCAAGTCACTGGCAGCGCCTCCCAAAATGTAATCGATCAGTTTGTTGCTACAAACTGGTCTGGCAGAGACAGGAAGGTCATCGTCTCCGTCTGAGCAGTCAGCTACACTAGTGTGGCTCGCCTCACACTCTTTTCCCACGGGTTCCTGGGGGCTGTGGGAAACCTCTTCAATCAACAAGTCTATTTTTCTCTCAGTGAGCTCCGGGCTGGCTCCAGGAGGAGACACAGTCTGGGCTGGGTTATCTGTGCAATGTTGTGGGTCCATCCGGAGAAGGTTCTGCTCCTCCTCCAGGCTGTGGTAGCCATTATCTTGCTCAGGGGTGGGTAACTCTTGCCCCTTGTTGGCCTGAAGGAATTCTAGCCGTTTCATACGAAGGTGGTGGATTTCGGGCAGGCCTTCTGTGGAAAGAGGGGGATATCTCTGCCACGCGGTTGCCGAGATCTCTGCACGCAGAGACTGCGGGTGGCAACCACCTTCAAAACGGCAACAGTTCTCTGGGGGGAGCGTTCGGAAATCCACGAGTTGGCCAGCTCCAACGCTGCTGGGACAGCGCAGCTCTAGCGGGGGAAGGCAGTCCAGATGGGAAGGGTTCAGTAGATAGGAAACTACCTTGAAACCGCCTAGGCTCTGGGCGTCCAGAGGCCCAGGGGGAGAAGGGCCAAGTTCTCGGTGGGGGACTAGACCGGCTGGAAGACTACTGGGCAACAACTCCAGCCGCTCCAGGAGGAAAGTGTGCGCTGCAGGGTCCAAAGCTCTTGCCTGGGCTTTCAACTCCAACTCCAGGTCTGAGGGTGAGGACTGCCACTGGAGTCCCTCCTCTAACCAATCAAGGGGGCTGAGCACCAAGTCTCCCGAAGAGTCCAGCTGCAGTGAACTCAAGGGTTTCTGCACCGTGGGGCCGGCCGCCTCCTCCCGTCCTCTCAAGGCTCTCAGGGCGCTGGAATTTGCTACGAGATCCAGCCATCTGGTCGGAATCATGCCACCGAAAAGATGGCTCCAAACGAACAGCTTCTGGAGCAAGCAAGGGAGGAGGGCAAAAAGCTGGGAAAGCAGTCTGGCCCAGTACCTGGTCCGAGGCTCGGGCAGAGCGGAGGCGGGCAGCGCGGCGGGGTCCCCGCGGTCTCCCCGACAGGAAGGCGTCGGGAACTCGGGAGAGCGGGCGTGCCACCGCCGAAGGAAGGGCGGCCGGAACCAGGAGCCCACCCGAGGGGCAGGCCGCATGCGCGGGCCTTGCGTCGCCAGCTCCATCCCCTTCCCCGGGCGGTTTGTCGGGCGGGAGCTCGGCGGGTTCGGCGGCGTCAGGACCCGAGGCCTACACAGCCTCGGCCTTGCCCAGCCATCGAGTCGGGACTGCAGGCCGATTCCGGCGCCGGAGGCCGAGGAGGCCCAGCGAGCGGCGGCTTCCGCAGCCGGCGGCGGCCCGCACAGCTTGGTAGCCCGCGCAGGCTGCGGCGGCCGCGGCTACGTCCATGCCGGTGTGGAGGGAGGCGTCCTGGCCCGTGTGGGACCGCCCCAGACCCTTCCGGCGGCGGCGGCGTTCGCGGAGAGCGCGGCCCGCACGAAGGGCTGGGCGCTGGGCGGGCGAGCAAAGCGAGCGAAGCCCAAGATGGCCGCAGCCGGACACCCGGAAGCCGCGGAGCGCACTGAGGCCCCGGGGCGTCTACGCCTGCGGCCCAGCGCCACCCGACGTCACTGGCAGAGCCCCGCCCCCGAAAGGCGGGCTCGCGTCACTGCCGTGCGTGGCCGCTGATTGGCTGCCACTGTGGTCCCGGCCGGCTTCCTTAACTCCGGGGTAGAGCGGCCTCGCACGTCCGAAGTTGCATCAGCCGGGCCCGAGAATGTACGCGTCCGCAATCAACTAGCTCCGGTCTCCTAGGAGACCGCACGCTCCACCCTCCGGGTTACAGGGAAGGGGCTCAGGGAGGTAAAACGCGTTTGTACGGGACCTGGGGATTTATGGATTACACACGCACGCGCACACACACGGGCACCGTATCACTTACCCGCTTTGTTAAGTAGACGGGAGTTAAACGTGGGGTGGGCAGTGCCGTATAACCGGCATGCCTGGGGTTAAGACACAAATCAGCGGAAGGCAGAACTGGACTCACTCAAGCATCCCTGCCACCCCTGTCCCCCGCCCCCTGCTTTGGGGTTTCTACGTCTCCGGCGTTGCCTGCGGTCTTATTTGGACATCACAAAGGAAGCCGTGGTGTGCGGGGCGCGCTGAAGTCACAGGGCGGGGAGAGAGTGTCACACTACTGTTGGCTCTCACACCCCTCAGCACCAGCGAGAATTCAGTTCCTTTAGCTCCTCGCCTCCGCCTACCCAGTGCAGAGAGTAAAGGCGCGTGACACCTCACCTGGTCTTTAGTTCGCTTCCTTATCTCTTCTAGTTTTATCTAGTTTTAGTCTAGTTTTGGCAATGACAAAGCCAAGTAGCTATGGCAGAGGGAGGAGAGTAATTGGAACTTAGATGGAAGATGGTTCATCGGTCTACAAAGGGAGGCCTGTGGGTCCTCAGGCTTTATGGGGCCTATTCGAGGTTCAAAAGAAAGTTCTTTTCTTTCCTGAAACCTAGACTTTCTGTTGTTTACTCCCTGGCGATATTTTAATGTCTGGAAATAGCTGGTTTCTTAATCCCAAAAACTTTAGGGAAATGTATTGGTACTGTGAGTCCGTTTTCATAGTAGAAAAGAGATCCAGATATGCAAATTAATTACTGGAAGCTTCAGTTCCTTTTGGAGGGGAAGCTGAAACTGTGGCCTCTCTTTTAAGCAGTGGGCGGGGAGCTATGTTCCTATCACAGTGCCTAGCCAGATGGTAGGAACACAAACGTTAGCTAATGTTGTACAGTTGTTGCCCTTTACAATCCTCAATTGTTTCCCACAGCACACAGAATAAAGGTTCTGTTCAGCCTGACCTCCACTAATGCCACTCAGCCTTGGATTCTCTTTACGGGGTCCTCTTCCAAAGCTTTGGACTTATCCTTGCTTCTGGTCTTTGGTGGCCAGGAAAGCCCTCTCAACTTTTCTTGTCCCCTACCTATTCACACTCCCAGGTTCAACTAAAAGGTCAGTGTCTGAGAGCCCGGCTTGGTGTCACATGTCTTTAATCTCAGAGCTACACAGAGAAACCCTGTCTGGAAAAACCAAAGATGGATGGATGGATGGATGATGGATGGATGGATAAATAGATAAATGGATGGATGGATGGATGGATAAATAGATAAATGGATGGATGGATGATAGATGGATGGATAAATAGATAAATGGATGGATGGATGGATGGATGGATGATAGATGAAGTCAATGTCTGCTTGAGGCCCTTACTGATCTCACTCAATTAGTCGGTCCTTTTCAACTCTGGTATCCCACTCCTTAACAGAATTTAACAGATTGCACTATCCTTTCCTGTAAATGTTCCTCCACTCCAGGCTATAACAAACAATACCGACTTCTTCAACTTCCCAACGACAAGAGGAACTGCTTTACGTAGAAACTTTACCCTACAGGCAGTGGTGACACTTGCCTTTACTCCCAGAGGTAGAGGCCAGCAGATCTCTGAGTCGAGACCAGCATGTGTCATGGAAAAATAAGGCTGCTGGGAAAGCTGCTCGTAGCAAGTGTGGTCTACAGAGTGAGTTCCAGGACAGCTAGAACTGCACAGAGAAACCTTGTCTCCAACAACAAGCAAACAAAAGAGTTCCCTTGAAGTTGGTTATTAAATGAGCTGTTAGAACCTCTTAGAGGTTCCTCCTCCTAACCCCCCACCCCAGACAGGGTTTCTCTGTATTGCTTTGGAGGCTGTTCTGGAACTACTTCTGTAAGCCAGGCTGGCCTCAAACTCAGAGATCTGCCTGCCCAGTGCTGGGATTTAAGAGGTCAACCACCAAGCCTGGCTGGCCGATCCTGATCCTCATACTCTGTCCCTCGATGTGTTCAAACCCATGCTTCCAGTGGAAGCCAAAGGCCACTGGTAGGTGTCTTCCTCTATCACTGTCCCCCATTTTTTTGTTTGCTTGTTTTGTTTTTGTTTTTCGAGACAGGGTTTCTCTGTATTGCTTTGGAGCCTGCCCTGGAGCTAGCCCTGTAGACTAGGCTGGCCTCAAACTCCCAGAGCTGCCTGCCTCTGCCTCCCTAGCGCTGGGACTAAAGGCGTGCACTGCCAACTGTCTCCCATATTTTTTTGAGACAAGGTCTATCACTGGACTTGGAACTCACCATTTCAGATAGACTAGCTCAGGGAGCCTGCAGGATCCTTATGTCTTTGCCCTGTAGATATGGGATCACAGCCACTAATTACCTGAGGGTTTCGTTTTGTTTGAATCTGAACCATCTCCTCAACCTAGGTCAGAACATCTTTTTTCTTTTCTTTTCTTTTTTTTTTTTAATCTTCTCCACATTCTCTTAACAAAGACTTTTTTGTTGTTTTTGGCTTTGTTTTTCTGGACAAGGTTTCTCTGTACAGCCCTAGCTCTCTTGGAACTTGCTCTGTGGACCAGGATGTCCTGGAACTCAGAGATCTGCCTACCTCTGCTTCCTGAGTGGTAGGACAAAGGCATGCACCACCACACTGCCACACTCAATGGTTTTTAAATTTTACATTTAAATGTATTTATTTTAGGATATGTTTGTGTGAACTTAAACCATAGTACTCATGTGAAGGGCAGAGAACAATTTTTGAGACTTGGTTCTCTCCTTCTGCCAAGTGGGTCCAGGGGATTGAGCTCAGGACATCAGTCTTGACAGAACATTCTAAGCCATCTCCCTGCCCCCCTCCTCTTTCTGAGTATAAAGCTGGGTATGGTGGCACAGGTTTGTAACCCCAGCAGTCCAGGAGCAGAGATAGGAAGATAGGAGTTCAAGGTCATCTTCAGTATATAACAAGTTATACAAGACCCTGTCTCTCAAAATAATTTAAAATAATAATAATAAGGCAAAACAGCTTTTAGAGGCTAGAGCTGGCTCAGTGCCTAAGAGCACTGGCTTTTATAGAGGACCTGGGTGGTTTCCAGCATCTACAAGGTGGTTCAAAATCATCCCTAACTCCAGTTCCAGGGGATCCAGGCACACTTGGAGTGACATATACATACATGCAGGCAAAACACTCATATACATAAAACTTGAAGGAAAAGTTTAGTAAAATAGCAGTTGGAGCATGGGACTGCAACTTGAGACCTGAGTCCACAGCATGCCTCAGGAAACACTTCTGCAGCTCTGTCTGTTGTGTGCTGTAACAGCAGCCCCTGAGTTGTCTCCATCCACTGTGCTCTTTCAAGTACCTTATTGGGGGTGGGGGGGTGGGGAGGGTGTTCCAGAGACTGTTAGCCATCTCTATCCCCAGCCTTCTGGGGGAGGAAAACAGGTTACACATCTCCACCGTTGAAGTGGGAACCCTGTGTGTCTAACATTCCAGGTTTCCTGGGTGCTGTTTGTGAGTGCAAGGACTGTTGTGCTCCCAACACCCTGTGCTCTACTAAATCACATGATTAAAACTTTCCATCACCCCTAAAAGGTTATAAAAAGCCAGACCTGAGAGACTCCCCAAGAGGATTTGTTGGGAGGATCGCTCCCAAGGCTGCTCTCTGAAGTCTCCGTTCCTTACTTTTAAGATTTACTAATTTTTGTTTTATGTGAACTGGTGTTTTGCCTGTCTATCTGGGCACCTCATGCATACCCGGTGCCTGGAGAGGCCAGAAGAGGACTTAGAATCTGCAGAACTGGAGATTCAGATGGTGGTTAGCTGTGCTGTGGATGCTGAGATTTGAACCCGGGTCCTCTGAAGAACACCACCACTCTTAACTAATGAGCTATCTCTCCAGCACCTCTCTCTCTTTCTTTCTCTTAATGAAGCTGCTCTCGAAGTTAAAGGAAAGCCTCTCCTCCTTCCCTTTGAGACCCCATCAAGTGGACATCCTCCTAATTTGTGTCCTTTCTGGCTAAGGCTCTCCCTTCCTCCTCAAGGCCCAGTGATGGCCATTAGATGCTTTCATCTCATCCTAATACACCTCACAAAGGAATTGTGTCAACCTCCTTTCCAGACTGCTGCAGCTGCTGCTCATCTTTTATTACAATAGCCGTCCACGTGCAGCTCCTAAAATCAATCTCTTAATTTTTTTAAATGAGGCTTGAAGATGCAGCTCAATGGTACAGCACTGGCCTAAGAAGCCCAAACCCTGGGCTTGATCCCCAGCATTGCAAAAGTAAATTATCAAAAACAAAGTAACTCAAACAAACAAAAACAAAAATAACTTTGAGTGGGCTACATATTCATGTGCAGTTTGTTTGTTTGTCTGTTTGTTTTTGGGGGGGCAGGTTGTTTCGAGATAGGGTTTTTCTATGTAACAGACCTGGCTGTCCTTGATTAGTAGACCAGGCTGGCCTTGAACTCACAGAGACCAGGGC